AATAAAACGAAAGGTATTTCTTTGTCAAAAGGCTGAATTTACTATTCATGCAATATTTGTTTGTTTGTTTGAAATATCAGTATAACTTTCAGCACAGTCAAAGATGTGGGTACTTAAATCTGGAGCTTGGATCCATGAGCAGACAAGACAGAACAGACAATCCCATATTTGCAGAAACATCTGAAATCCAAAAACAAAACACAAAACTGGGAGCTAAATCCTCTGAAATAATAGAAGCAGTGCCCAGTGCCTGTAGCTTGTAAGAAACAGATGCCCTCTGTGGCTGTTGCTAGGCATCTACAGCAGTATTGCCAGCTGAACCCTTTGTTTATATCAGTAAAAACCAGGGGGAGGGGGCAGGACCCATTCCAGGGCTGCTTTGGCCTTCAAAGGGGACTCCTGGGACCAGGGCAGGCAACAGTCATGGACAACTTACACTACGGGACTTCCACGACTCACCCAGGACTGGCTGCTCACTACTGTTCAACAGCACACATCAAATGAAATCTAGTATGGTGTAGTGATTAAAGTTTCAGACTAGGATCTGAGGGTCCCAGGTTCAAATCCCAATTTTGTCATGGTGCTCACTGACTGACTTTGGGTCACACACACATTCTCAGCCTACCTTACAGGGTTGTTGTAAGGACAAAATAGGAGAATGGTGTGAGTCCCTTTGGGTCCCCATTGTGGAGCATGGCAGGGTATAAGTGAAGTTAATAAATACACCTGAAGATGAGGGACAGATAAATACAGCTGAAGATGAAGGACAGATAAAAGGGAGGATGGTTGGTTGGGAAGAAGAGAAGGAAACGGGGAAAGATTGACAATATGGTAGTTGCCTGGAGGAGGGAAGTAGTGTGGGAAAGGGGATGGGAGGTGTCCGCTGCAAGTTCTTCTCCACGCCACCTGTGTGATAGTTTCCTGGGTAGAGGCTGCCAGGGGGATGGAAGAACGGAAAGCTGAAGATGGGGGCAGATAAAGCTAGGTTGGCTGGTGGGTGACAAAGCGAGAAGAAAGTAGGAGAAGGAGAGAAGCTATGGGGGCTTTCAGGGAAGGAGTGAAAGAGAAAATAGTGGGGGAGGGGGAAATGACATGCCATCTGCAAGGCCTTGTGGGTTTCTGACTTGTTTATGTCATAATTTTTAGTCTAAAAAAACCTCAAAGCAGGTATCACGTATGTCAAAACTGGGCTAATAAACAAGAGGGGGAATATCTGCAGCTGCTATGTCCCAAACGTTTGCTGGAAGAACCAGTTTATTTCTGCTTGCCAAAGGCTACCAGCCAGCCAGACCTCCCTCCAAAGGGCATTCCACAAACTGGGAACTCCACAACAAATGAGAACAATTTTCTTATATAAAGGTATCAAATTCACCTTTCCTTTCACTCTCTCTCTCTCTTCAGTTATGTTTTGCCTTAAGTATGCTTGGGAATCCTTATGTTACTCTATTAGATGAACCATCTACAGGTATGGACCCTAAAGCAAAACAGCACATGTGGTAAGTACCATCCAGTGCCAAGGAAACTAGGATGCACGATCACATTAATATGCACATTGCTTTTTTCAACTATGAGCATGACAGCTGTGCTGGGTGAACTATACTTAGGTATCCAAGCTTGCTTTTCAGTAAGCAGCATGTTCAGTCCTTATATGAAATCTCAAAAAGGTTTGTTTGCTTACAAAATTATGGGATCTGACAGAAGAAGTAATTTCCCAATGGGACAGTCAGTCTTTCCACAATAACCTGAGTGGTCTGTCTTTCTTTTGTCCCCAGCAGTTTCCTTCAGCTCCTTTCATGGCTATAAAGAAGTAGACTTTCTACTTCTTTCCCTTCACCTTAGTGTCAGTTATTTCTCTTTAGACAGGAGGTAGAGACCCATGCAACCAAACTCTCTGATTCACAGCTCCCTCACACGGAGCATGGCAGGGTATAAGTGAAGTTAATAAATACACCTGAAGATGAGGGACAGATAAATACAGCTGAAGATGAGGGACAGATAAAAGGGAGGATGGTTGGTATGGGGGAAGAAGAGAAGGAAACAGGGAAAGATTGACAATATGGTAGTTGCCTGGAGGAGGGAAGTAGTGTGGGAAAGGGGATGGGAGGTGTCCGCTGCAAGTTCTTCTCCACGCCACCTGTGTGATAGTTTCCTGGGTAGAGGCTGCCAGGGGGATGGAAGAACGGAAAGCTGAAGTTGGGGGCAGATAAAGCTAGGTTGGCTGGTGGGTGACAAAGCGAGAAGAAAGTAGGAGAAGGAGAGAAGCTATGGGGGCTTTCAGGGAAGGGAAAGAGAGAATAGTGGGGGAGGGGGAAATGACATGCCTTCTGCAAGGCCTTGTGGGTTTCTGACTTGTTTATGTCATAATTTTTAGTCTAAAAAACCTCAAAGTAGGTATCACGTATGTCAAAACTGTGCTAAACTCATAAACAAGAGGGGGAATATCTGCAGCTGCTATGTCCCAAACGTTTGCTGGAAGAACCAGTTTATTTCTGCTTGCCAAAGGCTACCAGCCAGCCAGACCTCCCTCCAAAGGGCATTCCACAAACTGGGAACTCCACAACAAATGAGAACAATTTTCTTATATAAAGGTATCAAATTCACCTTTCCTTTCACTCTCTCTCTCTCTTCAGTTATGTTTTGCCTTAAGTATGCTTGGGAATCCTTATGTTACTCTATTAGATGAACCATCTACAGGTATGGACCCTAAAGCAAAACAGCACATGTGGTAAGTACCATCCAGTGCCAAGGAAACTAGGATGCACGATCACATTAATATGCACATTGCTTTTTTCAACTATGAGCATGACAGCTGTGCTGGGTGAACTACACTTAGGTATCCAAGCTTGCTTTTCAATAAGCAGCATGTTCAGTCCATATATGAAATCTCAAAAAGGTTTGTTTGCTTACAGAATTATGGGATCTGACAGAAGAAGTAATTT